GTGTCATCTTACAATGACAACACACTGCCTGCTGACCAGACTCTGAGAAAAAGTCCATCAGACTTTGCTGATGCCTTTGGAGATTGTGATGCTTCTCCTGAGGTAGGAACATCAAACATATCCCATCAGAAAGTAGGCTGTGCCTTTTCAAATTTGTGACTGGTAATGTGACATTGATATTGATACACTTACTTTTTTTTTTAGATGCATCCCTTCGTAATTAGATGCATTTCCGCTCATTGTGCAGTATTTGTCCTTAGTTGCCTTTGGGTCTGTCTTCGTAAATATGTTGGTGCTTGGACACATAAATTGTTTGTTGAGGTTTTCTAAGTGGGGTGAAATTAGTCATTGCCACCATATTCACAAGAATCACAGATGAGTAAAATCTGCAACTTTAACGATTGAAAACATAATTGAGGTCCTTTCCTTGTCTCTCAGGCATCAACTTTAGAGGTAACAATTTATCTCGGTGCTTGTTGTTGTGCCTAAGATTTTTTATTTTGACTTTCTTTTCATTGGAAATAACCCATATCTTGTAAATGATATTATAGCATTGTATTTGAATAGTTAGAAGTGAGAGTGTGTTGTTTTAGGGTTATGAGTTGTTGTCTGTCATTTAAGTTGTACGACATTCTTCTTCTACGGAACAACTACACGAACTTCAGATTCTCGATATATATTTTTTCATTGTCATTTTCATTTTTGCTATCGCATGTGTACTGATTTCAAATTTTTATATAAGCTGATTTATTTGATAGTGTTTGATTTAAAATTTATTTCCAATTTTGGTTGCATTTTGCTGTTAAGTGTAGGTGTTTTCCTAACTCGTTTAACTCAGGTCTCACCTGCAAAAGAGTTTTTTTTTTTTTTTTTTTATAAATCTCATTGTCACTACCTAATTAGATATAGGTTATGCTGTGTCTGCTAATACTGAGTGGCTTCTGTAAGATGCCGATGGTAGTGAGCAAAGTGATTAGAATCCTGCAGTTTAATCAGACTCAGTTCTTTTTGTGCTTTTGATAACTTGTTCCTTTGCGCTCCTTTGTTTTTTACACATTTATGAAATATCAGTTATGGATTGTTTTTTAATAAACTTAAGTCACCCCTTACATCTTTAAACAATGTAGTTGTTAATTTCTTTGACAGTTTCAGTTTTTCTGAGGATTTGTTAGAGGCTGTCCTTTTACTCAATCTTTAATAAGACAGTATCATTTGTGGCCAAAGTAGTTGTCATTGACAGTTGTCACATCGATTTTAAGAAACATTTCAGCACAAAGATTTGTTCAGTACACTTTAAACTTTGTCAATACTTTATTTCAAGACAAGAATAAAAATTAACAGATAAATAGGAGTCTGTTTTTTCCACATCTAAAATGAAGTGCTCAGTATGAAGTGCCTTGGTGAAATAATGCTCTTGTTGTAGACATACCTTTTAGTTTTGACCATTTTAACATGTCCCAAGACATTTAAGTATATAATTTCCCGTTTAAATGAAAGCGCTCCGCTCTCCATATATGTTTTTTGTTTTATAATTATTTGTCTTGTAAAGACCTGCTGTCAGTGGAAATATGTAATCTCTCGGGGAGACTCACGATGTCGCTGTGCACCAGCTGTAATAATTGTCTGTCTACATCCACCCACTGTTGTCGACGCACAATGTGACTTAATGTGCTGCAGTTGATCGTCCAGAGAGGCAGAAACTTGGTCTTGGATTGTGTTGATTTTGGTTTAAATCCTTATTTTTTGTCTGTGTTCCCGAGGGAACGTCTACTATTTTATATCGGCGTCATGATGGCTATCACCGGACTCGCGTTTCAAAGCTGTGCAGTCGCTTTTCTGCTCCTCTCTTTGCATTTTGCCAGTGGAGATGTAAGCTATTCTTTTCCGGAGGAGATGAGGCGTGGATCTGTGATCGGAAATATCGCCAAGGATTTGGGTCTTGAAACAAGCAGACTATCCGCTCGAAAGGCCCGCATTGATACCGATGGAAGCGACAAACATTACTGTGATTTAAACCTCCGTACCGGGGATCTGACTGTTGCCGAGAGGATTGACAGAGAGGGCCTCTGTGGAGACAAAGCATCCTGCCTTTTAAAACAAGAGCTCATGTTAGAGAATCCATTAGAACTGCATCGAATTAGCCTACATGTCCAGGATATAAACGATAACTCGCCGCAGTTTAATAATGATTTGATCCATATAGATATAAGTGAATCCGCAGCAAAAGGTGCCCGCTTTCCAATAGAGGAAGCACATGATGCGGATATAGGCAAATATTCAGTTCAGACGTACAACCTCCAAAACAATGAGAATTTTATTCTGGGCGTTGGAAGTAATACTGTGGAGCTTGTCCTTAACAAAGAGCTTGACCGCGAAACATTAAAGGAGATCAATCTAATTCTTACAGCTTTGGACGGTGGCTCTCCTCAAAGGTCAGGTACTGTGGTCATTCACATCACTGTGCTGGATGCTAATGATAACGTCCCAGTGTTCAGCCAGGCCGTTTATAAAGCCAGTCTGCCTGAAAACTCTCCTTTAGGTACTGTGGTGCTGACAGTGGGTGCTACTGATGCAGATGAGGGGTTAAATGGATATGTAACATATGGTTTTGGACACGTTTCAGAGGATATTAAGTCGATGTTTACCATAGATCATAAGACAGGTGATATAAAACTGATCACCACGGTTGATTATGAAACGGCCTCATCGTTTGAACTGCGCGTTACAGCAAAAGATGGTTTGGGATTAACCTCATATGCTATAGTTATTATTGATTTTTCTGATTTTAATGACAACGCCCCTGTTATATATCTTAATTCACTGACTAATCCCATACCTGAGAATGTGTCACCTGGTACAGAGGTGGGCATCATTAACGTGCAGGATAGAGACTCTGAGAATAACAGACAGGTCCGCTGCTCCATTCAGCAAAACGCCCCTTTTAAGTTGGTTCCTTCTATTAAAAACTATTATTCTCTGGTGACCACAGGACAACTGGACCGTGAAGTAGTGTCTGATTACAACATTACAATCACTGCCAGTGACGAGGGCTCTCCACCTCTGTCCTCCTCTAAAATTGTTGAGTTATCTGTAGCAGACATCAACGACAACCCACCTGTGTTTGAGGAACAGTCGTACAGCGCATATGTGAGTGAAAATAACAAACCTGGCTCCACTTTATGTTCCGTTAGTGCTCGAGACCCCGACTGGAGACAAAACGGTACAGTGATTTATTCTCTGTTACCCGGTGAGGTGAACGGTGCCCCGGTGTCGTCCTATGTGTCTGTTAACGGAGACACGGGGGTGATCCACGCTGTGAGGTCGTTTGATTATGAACAGTTCAGGAGCTTTAAGGTCCACGTGATGGGCAGAGACAACGGTTCTCCTCCGCTGAGCAGCAACGTGACCGTCAGTGTGTTCATATCGGATGTGAATGACAACTCTCCTCAGATACTGTACCCCGGGCCGGAGGGCAACTCCTTCATGACCGAGCTGGTCCCCAAAGCTGCACACGGAGGCTCTCTGGTGTCCAAAGTGATCGCGGTGGACGCGGACTCCGGACAGAACGCCTGGCTGTCTTATGATATAGTGAAATCCACAGATCCGGGCCTTTTCACTATTGGTGTCCACAGCGGAGAGATCAGGACACAGCGGGACATTTCCGAGTCTGACAGCATGAAACAGAACCTGATTGTGTCAGTGAAAGATAACGGACAGCCCTCTCTGTCTGCCACCTGTTCCATGTATTTACTGATTTCTGATAACTTGGCTGAGGTGCCAGAACTGAAGGACATTTCTTATGATGAGAAGAATTCCAAACTGACGTCTTATCTGATCATCGCGCTGGTGTCTGTGTCGACGTTTTTCCTGACCTTCATCATCATCATCCTGGGTGTGAGGTTTTGTCGCAGGAGAAAGCCCAGACTGTTGTTTGATGGAGCAGTTGCCATCCCCAGCGCTTATCTCCCTCCTAATTACGCAGATGTTGACGGGACAGGGACTTTACGCAGCACTTACAATTATGACGCCTACCTGACAACAGGTTCAAGAACCAGTGACTTTAAGTTTGTGTCATCTTACAATGACAACACACTGCCTGCTGACCAGACTTTGAGGAAAAGTCCTTCAGACTTTGCTGATGCGTTTGGAGATTGTGAAGCTTCTCCTGAGGTAGGAAGTGGTGTTACATATTGTGAGATCTATTTTGTACTTTAATGATCCAGCCAATACCCATTCAATTATGATTTCTCTTTGCCTTTTGTTTTTATTTTACCTGACCCTTTTGGACAATGCAAGGTGTAAGATGAAGTTACCCTGTGTAAACTCATTTCACTTTGCACTTTTGAAAGCTACTACAGGCTTCGACACATAGCCATACATTTCACTTGCTTCTAAGTGCATACATTGGACGTGGTAATGCATTAAGAGTTCACAGAAGAGTTATTCTGACGTGCTATGCTGATATTTAAAAT